AACATTGAAACACGGTATCTTGTATTGTGGAACATTGCTGAAAAATACCTTATCGCTTTTCCATCATCATACCTAGCCAAAAAAGACTTCAGTGTGGTTATAAACATTTTGACAAAACGAAGAAACCGTTTTAAAATCGACGAACGAGATTAACGCTGCAACTCACCAATTTTGAACCAGATTTATCTAGATTGGTAGAAAGTCACCAGGTTCATTCATCACACCGAATTTTTTATTTTTGTATCTTTACTTTGCGATTTAAATGTTTTTTTTTTTCATAATTGCCTACTTAAGTATTTTTACGTAATTTGTATTAATAATTATTAATTACACTTGATGTTTACTGAATTTTAGGTCTATTTATTTTGTTGAGAAAATGATGTTAATTAAGTTTACTCACTTAACCAGGAGGTCTTAGGTATCAGTTCATTTTAAATAAGGGGTCTCTTGTCCAAAATTGTTTGGGAATCCCTTCTTAATGTAAATATCAGGGGTGTGAAAATAAGAATGAGAAGAGCTATAATTCGTCTAAAAAATTTGGATCAATTTTCTGTCTTTCTTTTTCATATTTGTACGTAATTTCAACAGAATAATTAAGAATATATTAAATTTTTAAAACCTAGGTAATTTTCCATTCATAAATTTTGTTTGTCTAGGAAATGTTTCTTGCATCAATTCTCGATCGCATGTAAATTTGACGAACTTGTATCCTCAATTGTCTGGTTTGGATTTAAAGACTATCTTTTTTAAATATTTTGTTTAATACTTCTTTTAGATATATTAGGAATAATAATTAAAAATCAAATAATAAAACCTGTAACACTATTGGTTATGCAACCCACATAACTGCTCTATGTATTTGTAATTGCATGTCACAAACTTCAATAATAGAAAAGTGTATTTTTTTTAATTCTTAATACGGATAGGTATACAAGGTTGCCTGACATAGATAACTAAGACTATTATTATTTAAAACTTACCTCAAGTTTAATTATTATAATTACACATTTTAATGACTTCTGAGTGTTGATATTTCCATAACAATTTTTGTATAATTGTTTTTTTTTTCAGCACAGTAGGTTTAAATTTATTATTTGATTTAACTGAGTACCTACCTAGGTATAAAATAAGTCCAATGTATCAATTAGGTACAAGATAGTTAAAAAATCGTAAAAACATTCAAATGCAATCTTCAGTAGAACATTATTTCTAAAACTATTTTAAATAAACATCTCTTATAATTTGAGATGTTGGAACATAACCGGTTTAAAAAATTTCCAGGTAACCATCTCAATTTGCAAATTTATGATCTAATCATTTGAAAAATAATAAATAAATATATAAACTAGTAAACAAAATAAGTAGGTAGGTACCTACCTATTTTTGTACTGTTTTCGAAATGTGACTAGGTATTTCAAACAAATGTCAACGACGTCGTCACCACACATACTAGTCGCGTCAAATTAGCATTTTACCTGCAACTTTTTGCGGAGATATTCGATTGAGATGCGGTTTTCTGTAAAATGTTCAGGAAACCGTCTATAACAAAAGGTATATCTAACCTCTGTACGCTCGCAAATTCTTAATTGTTTATTTAACAAATGAGTCATTTTTGTTGTAACTTGGCTAATTAACAAATGAAAAACTCAACCCCCGAAATCACTAGAGCACCAGATTTTTTTCCAGCATTTCTGGCTTGTTAAGGCGAACCATCAGCACAAGATTTTTGCAAACATAATTGTTTATTGTTCGATTGTTGAAACCTCGCTAATTAACAAATTAATAACTCGACTCTCGGAATCGTTAGAAGCCCAGATTTTTTTGCAATAACTCTGGGATCATGAGGAGAACCATTGCCAGAAGATTGTTGCAAATATGATTGTTTATTTTTGAATTGTTGCAACCTGGTTGATTAACAAATTAAGAACTGTCATCCAACAAAGGGCAGAACACTGGTGTTTTTTCTGTAATGCAATGGGAGCTATTCAGAACTCGTAGTTAAGGGCTTCAAATTGTTCTTGTATTCAAACTGTGTAGGTAATGGAAGGTTACTTGAATAATACAATAATATATTATTAATGATTGCTCTTTATTGGCAAAATACCATGGACGTACTGATAAGCTTTACATTGGAACAAAGATTCTTAGTGCACGTGTCTTTACAAAAACTTTCGTCAATTTGATCTGTTTCGAAATAGTCAACTACAGAAACATTGTTGGGGGGGGGGGATAATGTCTATGGTCGGTGGAAGTACAAAATCAACAGCAGCCGGATCGCCATCGTCTGATTTCGGGCCTTGAGTTATTAATTTGTTAATTAGCGAGGTCGCAACAATCGAACAATAAACAATTAAGTTTGCAAAAATCTTATGCTGATGGTTCGCCTTAACAAGCCAGAAATGCTGGAAAAAATTCCGCTTCTCTAGTGATTTCGGGGGTTGAGTTTTTCATTTGTTAATTAGCCAAGTTACAACAATTTAGCAATAAATAATAAATCTGACACCAAAGTGATAAAGAGGGACCTCGAAACCCCCGAGAGAACATTTTCCAAACATTTTCGTTGAACCGTTTGTGACATTTGCCACATATTCATCGACACTCTAACAACAATACCTCATTTGTTAAATACACAATTAAGAATTTGAGGAGGAGGAGGAGGTGGAGGGGGGGGGGTTGTTGTCAGAATCCACTAGTAACTGAACTTCCGGAGTTAATACAGACGGTTTTCAACAAAAAAGAAAACCTGTGATTATTCACGTGTAGTATGATATAACTCGGAACGGACAGATAATTGAAAGATCAAACGAAGTGAAGTTAGATCTCAATTATATGAAATGCCTTGTTCTAGATGATCATAGGTAGTACCCCCCTTTCCCCGCTCTGTGACCACGTATTTTAAAGTCTAAATACTCTCAAAAGTATTTAAAAAGTTCCAAAATAACAACTGGTCGTGCCAGCCATTCCCACTTCTGTACCCGTTCCGTCGTACTCCGCAATAAACTCATTACGTGATAATTTGAAAGCTGTAATTGCACAAAGCGCCTATTCTCTAGAGACTCCACGCCAATGTTTGACTTATAAACCTACCACCTTGTGTTTGGAGTAGGAATTGACATATTAAATTAAATTCAAATTGTAATATTTAGTAGTAGGCAGTAGTTCTACATCAAACTAACCGAAAACATAAATACAAGTCATAATATATTTGGATTTATTTTTTAGTTAAGTTTTACCCACAAAAATGGATGAAGAGTCATAATTTCACCAGTAGCCCCATCTAGTGTTTGGAGTAAATAGCATAAGAAATGTCAGTTGTCGGTTTTGACCGTGGTCATTCACGTTCAACCTCTATGTGCTTTGTGGGTAATTGTGTTTGAATCTTTATGATTTTGGGTATAGGTGTGGGTGGGTTCAATTATCTCAAACAAGGCGTTTCATATAATTGAGATCGAACTTCACTTTAGGTAAGTTCGTTTGATCTTTCAATTATATTCCACTCCTCCTTGTTCTCAATAATCATAGGTAGCTGTTTAAAGAAAAGATGAAACACAATTACCGAGAACATTTTTATTCTAAACCCAATGATTGAACCATATTATTCGAACGTTTTTGGTATATTCTAAGTACCCTACTAACATTAGTTTATTGCAATAACAGACTTAATTCTCACGAATTTAAGTACAATGTAACTTATAACTCAAACTAGTTACATACAACGAACATTACGAAATCGGAATTGCAAAGGAAAAATGTAACAGGTCTTTTATAGAAAGAAATTATTAAATGTTACCAATTGGATTTTTTTTCTTTTGTTTCATCTTGTGTAAGTTTATTTGTGTCAATACTAACTTCCAATTTATTAGTAGCATATGTATAGATTTTCGTTAGTGGGTCGTAGAAATAATATACTGTACAACTCAAGCGGATTGTCCATATCCACTCTTGTTGTACAAACTAATATTTTTTTTTACTATTTACGATTAAATTGGTTTTATAAATTTACGATATTTGTTTGTAAACATAGACGAACATCTTATGAACTGCTGTTATTTATTGATTATTTACAAGAATCATTCATTTTTAATTATATTTAATCTTAATAACTAAAAAATATACTGACAATTAGTTTAAGAGAATTGACACTTATTTAAAATTTTAAAAGAATAATATTATAGCTTGGTGACCAAATATGAACTGTGATTGGTGGATTTCATATCTAGGCATTGTTCTCACTAGAACTGATATAAAATTATATTCGTTCAGTAAAACAAAGTAAAGTACTTTTTCGTTCTGTAGTCTGTGTATAGAATGGATAATCATGTGGATTGAGAAAAAAATTATTAGGGGTCGAATTCTTAACCACACCTTAAAAGTTTTCTTTACTTTAACCTCCCTTTAATCGTCCTTAAAATACTATTGTTATTCAAGAAATGCTCCTTTCTTTCTTAAGGTAAGGAAGGTTTCATTAAATATAAAGTTACCTTAAACGGAAGCTAAGCGAACTGTTTTTTATTTCACAAACGTTCCTTTCTGTCAAAGGAATATATGAGTCGTTCCATTCCAAAAGTCGTCTTGTCCACTTTGTAAAATTTTCGGAGAAATGAAAAAAACGTTTATTATTTTTATTAATTGCTTTTGTTTAAAGACGTAATTTTATTCGATTTTGATTGTGATTAGAAAACCACCCAATTATTTTTTTAAACGAATCTATTACGAAAGGCAATATTTTTATTTTGGATAAGACGAGTTTTGTTGTGAAACATTGGATAAGCCAACTTTCGGTGTGATACATACTGGATAAGACGAGTTTTGACTCAAATATTATTTACAAATAAATACCCTAGTGTTTACTGAAAAATATACATTTTATTTATTTTAGTTTTTATAATACAAAAATGAACATTAAACTTATAATACTAAAATGCAAACTTAAAACAAATTTTTTTTGTCAGCATACAGATGTAATTAAAAATATTACACGTAATAAAATAAACTAGAAACTAAATTCTAAGTTCATTATTTGTCTCGTCTTCTCTTAACTCACAAAAAACATACTGTTCAGGTTCCTGTTCGTTTTCAATCGATTCACCGGTATTATTTTCAAAATTGTAAAATGTCACATCATCCCTAGTGGACCATTCCTCTCCAAAATGTCTAACTAATAGTTTTCTGATATCTTCTAGTTTTTCAGGTTTTAAAGGTATTCCTTTTGGGATATCAGGAGGATTATAAGTGGAAAGATTTTTTCCCTTTTTAAGAATAGATCTCGCAACTGCAACGTCAGAGTTGTAAAATGCTTCGCCCTTAAGAACAACATTGCCTTTTATATTTTTTGTTAATATAAATCTTTTAGCCTCGGAAAATTTAAAATGCCATGATCTTAAAATACTGTACAGTCTGTACCTAAAATTTTAACTGTTCCGTGACTTTTGAAAATGTCATTGTAGGTAGATCACATACTTTGATTACTATACTAGGCAAGAGAGAGGTCCGACACGCCCAACATAGGGCGCGGCCATTTTGAACCCTGTGACACAGTTTACAGCTAAAGAATCAGATCACTCACTCTGCGTCGGCACTTTTGATCTCAATGTTTCAGTTTATACACTGTGCAACTTGGATAATACAATATATGACAACCTCCTATAATAAAACAGCAGTCTTCTGCGTATCCTGAATTTGTATCCCTGGAGTGGAAATTATTTTGGAACTTTCAACTGGTCCGAGTGAGCTAAGTGATACTTTAGCAATAAACTGTGACTTCAAAAATAATATTCACTGACACTGACAGCAGGAAGCAAAATATCAGGTGCGTTTTAATCATCCGCTTCTGCTTCCGGAATTGTCGGTTTAGTCGTTTTAACCTGTTAGATTAAAACAAGAAAACCGACAAATCCGAAGCAGAAGCGGATGATTAAAACCATAGATATATAACCAAGACAGATAGGATTATTTACACAATTTTTGAAGAATAAACGGTGGTGTCCGCGGTAGAAACTCAATAATCGGATTGAACATTGATGCCAAGTTTACGTGCTTTTAACTATAGATATATATAACCAATACAGATTACACAATTTCTGAAGTCAACGCGGATGCTCCTCTACAGAAATGCAATATTTAGATAAAATTGAAATATTGATGCCAAGTTTGCGATGTTTTTAACTGTAGTAATGTTATTGCATTTGCTTGAATTACTGTTAGGTCTTTAAATTGTCAAAAAAAAAATAATGTCTGACAACAGCGGAAGTTGAGTAGACCGCAATTGTGGAGGGTCGTATATTGTTTCATTCATAAAAATTCCTTCGATACAGTACTAGTCCAGGAGCCAGTGAATTGTTTCGTACTTGTTTTCCTGGTCCGTGTATATTTAAATAATCTATTCCCGGTGAACTGTATATTTAAAATGGAACGCCAATCTATTAACAAAAGTAAGCCAGATTGAATTCGCGCGTTACGTCACATCGATACAAGTGAGATTGTTTACAAAGTGCTTTTGCATGCCTATTTTGCCCATTTCATGTATTTGTTTTTAAATCATGTTAAATTACTATTTTTGAAACTCAACAAGGAGAAAATCCAATTAACTCTTCCGTTGTGTATATATATAAGATAAATTAACTGAAGTTTTATTAGTAAAGTATTAATACTAAAATTTTAATGTAATTTACAGAAAATAGCTAGGTATGTATTTGTTTTTAAATAATTTGATAATTTATGAAAAAAGTGAGTAAAAGTGGAATGGCCAGTAGGTCAGTCAATACAAAGTATCATATATTTCTATTATAACATAACTAAAATACCTACATCTTTTAATCATAAGGACATAAGTTAAAAACCATTTTAATATATGCATAAGAATGAAGTAATAATAACTTAAAGAGACGAGGTCTTAAAGTAATAGCTGGTACAGCATGTTTTTTAAACGTTTCCTCATTGCTGCTAGAATGAAATCACTTACTATGAAATGTGCTCTAAAAACGGCATTTATAGCAGTCAGTGTTTAGTCTTAGGATCTCTTCCTAAAGCCCTCATCCAAGCTGCATACATATTAAAAAATAATTTAAAAAAAAAACATATTATAAACCTATATAGTTTTCAGTTCTGGGTGCCCTAAAAGAGGACACTTAGCCGACAATTTGGCTCAGATAGCTAAAACCCAAAAGCCACACCCAGAACCAGGACGTATGGCTATCCTTTTAAGTAAAAAATAACTACAAATAACTTACCTGAAAAATGAAGGCGTCTAACTTTACACCAAAAAAACCATACACTTTTTCCCATTGTTGCAAGCACCCGATGACGATTAGGTAGATATCAACTAGAAACATGTACTTAATGGTTATAAAGCTTATTTTAACACAAAAAGAATAAAGCACTAGTCGAAAAGCAGCAATCAAATATAAATAGACCACAATATTAAAATTTAAATTAAAAACTATATAAAAGACAAATACTCTAAAAGCGCAAAAGATCAGAACCAAATAAAATGAATAACCATAATAACCTAAAAATCACACTAAAATTGCAGAAACTATTACTGTAAAATCATGAGATTACATCAATAATGCATATGCGTCGGAGTATCGCAAATGTCAAAAGTACAATGTTTCCATGAAAATTTAGCTATGTTTTTAGCAGTATTATAGAACCATTTCTACCACGCGCTTCCAACGATATTGGCGTTCCACAGTTCACTGTATTTTCCTCACACCTCTAGTATAAATGATTTGACATAACGAAACTAACAATAATTATAATTAATGTAGAGTAATAAGTGATTCGTGAATTCTAAATAAAACAATTATTATATAAAAGTGTAAAAGGAAATGTAATTTATTTCCCTATTTTCTTCTGTAATATCTTCAATTATTATGTTTAATTTCTATAAATAAACCAACTGGTTAGGTGAAACATTGTGATATAAGATTTTATTTATGTGTCCTATGCGTACACTTTAATATACAAAACACCTGGAACATTCTTTAAATAATTGTGGTCGTAGAAATAATTGTGTACATAACTTGTTTGAAAGTGTATTTTATGCCCTTGCCAAATATATTATCCATACAGATTAATCAGACTATTTTTTTACTTAACTTCAGTACATCTCTTACTACTAAAACTATTTTTATCAATGGAAAAAAAGGGCCGTGTTCTCATATGTTTTGACGCATTTTCGGCCTCAGCCCATCGGATCCCCCCTCTAAATATATATGAATTTTGCTTAGAATTGCTAATCCTACAATTCTCTATTCGTGCTTGCTGACTGGGAAAATAAATACCGAAAATCGTCACTGTCTCCTGGACTATACAATAGACGATGATGAGAACTTCACAACAAATACACTTTTATGAATGGCTAGTTGGGGATGTGATTAAAACGCACCTATTAAAAATATTGCGCCAAGATGTAGGCAACACGTAATAAGGGTTCACAATGGCGGAGTTTTCTATCTCCTTTTAAAAGGCACTCAGAAAGCTGCGCAGTGCGACCATTCTCCGTATAGTAAAAGAAAATCAAAGTATGTGAGGTAGATGGATTAATAATAGTTGTCTCCTTTTTTAGCTGCTTTTGTTTCTAAATGATTTCGAGCTATTCTTTGAACTCTGTCCTTTGATACATTCAATATCCCCAAAAAGGTTTTTTGACAGATTTGTAGTTGAAAATTTGCTGAATCCTTCAATTTGACATTATACTTTATAGCAATGGTTTTTCTGCTACTATCAGGTTTAACACTTCTATCTCTTTTGGATTTACATAAATTTATATACTTTAGCAAAAAGGCATCTTGTTTTACTTTTATTTTATGAGCGTAAAAGTTAGCGTTAAAGTCTTGGATATGTCGCATATTTTATTTTCTGCTTCGAAAAGTTTTTCTATTGCGAGAGCAGGTGGGATATCTTATTTAGAATGCCTGCAAATAATAATATCCTGAATTTCACACTATTTTTTATGAGCTAATTAAAAATATTTTACCTTGTCCTTTTTGTTACTTCCTTTTTCCATTTACTTTTATCACTGACTCTCTTTCTTGACTTAGCTTCATCAACAGGTATAATACTGGTCTCCATTTTAATTTCCACTTTCACCTTATAATTTTATGTATTTTTTATATTAATTTTACAGGAAATGAAAATATACAAAACATTATTGTTCATGATCGTAGTTCGTTACACACTGACACGTGGGACACAACACGGAAACGATCCCGCACTTTCTGACACCCAAGCAAGATTTGCGATTGGACAGTAGGATAAGGAAAGTTTTGGCGCGTCATACTAGTTGGATAAGACTAGTTATGGAACATTTCTCATTTTTCGCCCTTAGTTTCCTATTGTTTAAGGCGCTTTTTGGAACACTATTTTGAATCTAAAACGTAGAGTTCAATATATTGTTTCTAAATGCCAGTGTACCTAACTTTTTACTTTCCTATCTGTATACAGATATAAGGAAAGTATAGGAATCATGATTTTTTTCGACCTCGAGTTTTCGACGGATTTTTACGTTTTGAGGTCCCCTGAATCCGTTTTGACTATTTTCGCGATGATGTCTGTGTGTGTGTGTGTGTGTGTGTGTGTGTGTGTGTGTGTGTGTGTGTGTGTGTGTGTGTGTGTGTGTGTGTGTGTGTGTGTGTGTGTGTGTGTGTGTGTGTGTGTGTGTGTGTGTGTGTGTGTGTGTGTGTGTGTGTGTGTGTGTGTGTGTGTGTGTGTGTGTGTGTGTGTGTGTGTGTGTGTGTGTGTGTGTGTGTGTGTGTGTGTGTGTGTGTGTGTGTGTGTGTGTGTGTGTGTGTGTGTCTGTGTGTGTGTGTGTGTCTGTGTGTGTGTGTGTCTGTATAACGCATAACTCATGAACCGATACACGGAAAAACACCAAATTTCAAACTTAAGCTTTGTTCCAGCGTCTCATGAGCTGATTAGATTTTGGGCAGAGTCGGAACATCTGGGGGGGTACTTTATAGGTGGTCATTTTTATATTTTATGGAATATATCTGTTATTTACGTTTGGAGAAGAAAATTCTTCAAATAAAAGTTACTTCTAATATAATTATCTATAATTTTTGTTATATACAAAATTTTCCTAAAATGGTCCGTATTCTCGAAATTTGACAAAATGTAAAAAAAATAATTTTTTATAAAAATTGTTCAAATAAAAGTTGTTTGTAATATAATTCTCTATAATTTTTATCCTATAGATAATTTCTCTAAAATGGACCGTATTCGAGATATTTGAGAAAATGTGTAAATTTCGAAATTTGAAGAAAACTCAAAAACGGATAAAGAAAAAAACATTAAATTTTAAACTTAAGTTTTATTTCGGCCTGACGTGAAATGATTAGATTTTGGACAAAGTCGGAACATCTGGGGGGGTACTTTATGGGAGGCCGTTTTTATATTTTAGGGAATATATCTGTTATTTATGTTTGGAGAAAAAAATTGTTCAAATAAAAGTTACTTCTAATATTATTATCTATAATTTTTGCTTTATGTAAAAATTTCCTGAAATGGTCCGTATTCGAAAAATTTGACAAAATGTGCAAAATTCTGATTTTTATGAAAATTGTTGAAATAAAAGTTGTTTGCGATATCGATCTCTATAATATTTGTTCATACATGATTTTTTTAAAATGGACCGTAATGGAAAAATTGTAGGAAAAGTGCTAAATTTAAATTTTTCAGTATTTTAATTTTCAATGAATATCTATAGAAAAATGTTTCGAGGTAGATGTATGCGGACAATGTATATATTTAGTTTATCCTCTAAACATTTATAGAGATGCTGCAATAGGTTGTACAAAATAACCGGAAGAAGCCTGTAATAACTAGATAGGAAAGTCATGTGTTGGACACATCAGATTTTTTTAAAAAGTGGATAAGGCAAGTTTTGGAATGGAACGACCACATACTTTGATTTTATGTGGGAACGACTCATATAAGGCACATACTTTGATTACTATACGGTGCAAGAGAGAGGTCCGACACGCCCAATAAAGGGCGCGGCCATTGTGATGCCTTTGTCAAAGTTTATGGCTAAAGAATCAGTTCGCTCACTCTGCGTCGGCACTTTTGAACTCAATGTTCCAGTTTATACACTGCGCAACTCGGATAATACAATATATGACAACCGCCTATAATAAAACAGCAGTCTTCTGCGCACCCTGAATTTGTATCCCTGGAGTGGATGTTATTTTGGAACTTTCAACGGTCCGAGTGAGCTAACTGATTCTTTAGCAATAAACTGTGACTCTAAAAATAATATTTACCAAAGACATTACAACTAAGAGACCTAATTGTTTACATTTTTATGTGGCAAATCATTATTCCCACCAGATTCTCGTTTATTGCGTCTTTGCCGGTTTTATCAGTCTGTAAAAATTATTTGGAGAAATTACTTTCGAGAAATAAAATTTGATGTATCCTATAACTATAATTTTATAATATACATTTTTTTTGAAAGAGTAAAACCAAATTTGGTAGATTTTCACACTTTTATTTTAAAAATAAAAATTTTTAAACAAACACTAACATGACATATGTTTCGAAGTACAACTTCTTTTTCAAATGTGACTATTTACAATTCGGTATCCAATATATATACAAAATAATTTAACAAAACAAAGTACTTAAGAAAACATCAATAACATTACAAAATAAACTAACTATTTAAAGTAAATAAGGGTACTTAGGTAATTATAATATCCATCAAATAACAATAAGATAGCCCATTATTTGATGGATATTATAATTACCTAAGTACCCTTATTTACTTTAAATAGTTAGTTTATTTTGTAATGTTATTGATGTTTTCTTAAGTACTTTGTTTTGTTAAATTATTTTGTATATATATTGGATACCGAATTGTAAATAGTCACATTTGAAAAAGAAGTTGTACTTCGAAACATATGTCATGTTAGTGTTTGTTTAAAATTTTTTATTTTTAAAATAAAAGTGTGAAAATCTACCAAATTTGGTTTTACTCTTTCAAAATTAAATGGATTTTCATCAAGTAAAGGCCGAAACAATAAATAATTATAATATACAGTATGGTTCAAATGAAAGGAATAAATTCATTATAATGGAAGTAGTTGGTTTTTCGAAATAATGCTCGGACAGGTCAATTTTGTTTACTTAAAGCGCAATTTTTTAAATAGAATTCAATTTTCCCCCACTTCCCATTTTTGGGCAGTGACGTCATTGACAATTTTTTTAAATAGTAACCCCAATTTTTTTTTCTTGATTTTGATAGATCTTGCAATTTCCTACTCGGAAACATAATATTTGAAATATCTGACATAACAATTTTTTTTGAATAAAAGTCATTCCTAAAAATACTACAGGGAGTGTCTAGCAAATGTGTATGTAATAAATACTGGAAGCTAACAAAGAGTATAAAATAACAAGTGTAGGTGCTTAGGAATAGTAAAAATACCCCCAATAAGTCACTGTGGCGTCCCTAAGGAAGATGATACATGTATGTCCGGCAAAAATAATTATAAATAACAATGTAATTTTAACACATAGTATGTCCGACATCCACTACATATTATGTAGTAAATGTCGGACATAAAATTGGGTATTAACGTCAGTCGGACAACAAAAGTCTAAAAAATAGTGTAATCACGTAGCATACTCCATATACCTATAATATTGTAACCTATGCTTTGATAGTTATTGTAATTTCTATTATTATTATTGTTGTTATTATTTGGGTTTTTTTATTATACATATAATTAATAGTTTTATAAAATATTATAATTAGTCGATAGGCTTACACTCTTCCCATGAACATTTTTTGTTCAAGGTTGGAATTATGTTTTGTGCTAATCACGAATATCAACATAAAAATCCTAATGTTGTTTAAACGACTGTAAAAAGGTTGTTTGTTAAATTATAAAAAAAGTTTCAGACAAAAATTGTAAGGTTTAAAAAGAAGGCTTGAGTTTTTTTCGAAAAAATCAATATTTTAGCTGCAAATAAATTGCCGCCAATTAAATTGTTTATAACTTTTAAAAGCAGCAACATTAGGCTTTTTTATGTTGATATTCGTGATCTGCGAATCAAAAAATATAAATAGTGTTAGGAAGCCGCTCAGGAAGTTTGGCGTATACAGGAGTTTCAAAATCCAAAGGTCGATATACTGGGGACTAATATTTTTATGAGGTAAAGGTATTGTACAATTTGATTGTTTTTTAAATCTCGTGTTATAAACATAATCAATACTTGTTGACTCCGTTTATTTAATATGTTTTCTATTTAATGTTTTTAAGAAAAATATTTGCCTAATATCGTACAGATTTACTTGTTCATATAGGAGTTCAGTTGGAATTAATAGAGGTTTTTTAAACAATATTTTGATATTGTATCACTGAGTCGTCTTTAAGACGAATACAAGGGATTTTTGTGCATCTCCCCAATTTAAGTGGCTTTTCACTAAGACATGATAGAGAATTAGCATATATTTTTTATCACATAGCGTGTTGATATGTTTTTACTTATACTTACGCCACAAATCGAAGTTTTTTCAAAAAAAAAAAATGTGTCGGAATTTTATATTTATATTTATATTTATATTTAGTGTCCGAATTACAGATAAGGTATTGTTAGTGAAGTATGCAATAAATTCCATAAATAGATAATAAATAATAAAGTTATAGTACTTTAAAAAGTTCACCTTTAAAACATTTATTTAAAAGACTCCATTTTTGCGCCATTAACCGCGTCATAATGAAGCGTCTATTTCTATTGGTCACTAAAGAATCTGTGATACCATAATACTAGACAGTTGATCGTTATCTTTTTCTAATAGTGACATTTATGATAGTTATCTCTTTCTAAAATCAGATTAAAATTATTTTTTCATTTCTAATGATACAAAAATGTCAAAATGTCTAACCTCAAATCGATTATTGGAAACAAAACAATGAAATTGCTTTTAAAAAGTGTGATAAAATAAATATTTGTTTAATTTTGTGTTACATTAAAAATATATGGTTAAGTACTTGGTCCCTATAAGAAGTATAAAAAAGTCAATCTGATAAAATGTTTGCAAAGGTTCCTCAAAATCTAGACCTAGA